ACAGGCAGTCAGTGTAGATAGGCAATTGGGTCCAGTTGAGAGAAAGGAGGTTAGTTTGGGAAGTTGGAGACCACCTCTGAGGGATTGAAATGTGAATGCCTTCAGAGCCCTTCCTCCACCTGCCCCTGCTCCAACCTGTTGATAAGGTGACCTGTCCTAGGAATTGCTCCTCCCCACAGAGCTGATAAAAGTTGTTAATGTATCCTGGGATGCTTCTTGGTTCACTCCATTTGGCCCTTCCCAAAGACAGGCAGGAAGGAGAGAGATAAGGGGGAAGAAGGCAGAAGAACAAAGAAAGTCTAGGAAGTATAAAAGGAGCAGGATACCCTCACTTCTTGGAATACCAGGATACAAGACGTGGCCCCCTTCTGCCTACTGGGAGGAGTCTGTGTTACTACTTTTAAATAAACCCTGCTTTATATGCTTGCCTTGGCGGCATGCTTCTCTAATATTTAAACTTCAACATGTGAGGAAGTGCAGCCTGTCACCAATACCCAGTGGCATCGATATGAGAGTAAGTAAATGAAGGGAATAAGAGCACTTCCTACAGAAGATCATTTTAAATAAAATGGCAAATGATTGGTCAGAAGTTAGGAAGAGAACTGGGGATGAAAGTTCTTTGTCTCTCAAATTTCAATGGAGGAGACTCAAGCTTGCTTAAATGCTGAGGGGCAAAAGCTGGGCAAAAAGAGAGACTGAGGTAAGAATGAATGGATCTAAATGGTGGAGCAAGTTTCTGAGAGAAGGTTGAGAGATTAATCTTGGATACAGGAAGTTCTCCTGTTATATTAAATGAAAGAGACATAGATTAGCCACAGAGCAGAGCCAAATAAGTATGGAGGGAGGATAGGAAGTTGAGAATGTTGCTGTACAGGATTTCAAAGTGAAGTAACAGCACTTTTAAGATTTGCTACTAATTGTTCTGGGTGAGTATGGTAAAATTAAAAGAGTTTTTTTTTTCATTTCAGAGTGAGAATCAATTATAAGGTAGGTGATATATTTGACATTGGAAAATTACTTAATGGATAAAATAATAATAGGAATAATATTATTAAAAGGAGATTTGAAAAATCCTAATTATAAATAAAGTATTGATCTAGTACGTTCCAGGACTGATGAAATTACTGAAAAATTTAGAGATTCATTCCAATTGGCAACTAACTAGAGAATAAAAACTGAGCAGTGAAGTTCAGATAAATGACTTCTGCCAAAACATAGCAAAGTAACAAAACTCAACAACAGCAACAACAAAAATCTTGGCCACAAGAAGAATTTCTGAAATATTTCTAAAATAAAATGTAAGTGTTAAGTAGAGGTAAGGAATTATAACTTTGCTAAAATCTTAAAAGGATACTAGATAAAATAATAAAAATATTGAGAAAATGTTTAAATACTTGATAGGTATAGAAAGGGGGCATTTCTATTGTGATCCTGAAGATAAAAAAGTCATTGGTGGGCTGGGGATGTGGCTCAAGCGGTAGCGCGCTCGCCTGGCATGCGTGCGGCCTGGGTTCGATCCTCAGCACCACATACAAACAAAGATGTTGTGTCCGCCGAAAACTAAAAAAAATAAATAAATATTTAAAATTTCTCTCTCTCACTCTCTCTTTAAAAAAAAGTCATTGGTTACATTAGTGTGAATGAATTAAAAACAAAGTCAGTGCTCATCTGTGTCTTTTATATCCTCTGCACTATTCAGGTAGATTTCTTCCCACAAGTATAATCAGGCTTATTATTTTGAAATAGAGTTTGGAAACAACTTTGAGGTTCTATGTCCTGTAAAAGGAGTGAACTTTTGCCTCTGAAATATCCCTTGAAAATCACAGGTTTTTGAGAATGAGATGTCTGTGGTGTAGTCTTGACTAAAAGCAGCATTACCCAGCTTGATTAGTAATTTTATTTGCCAACTGTGATGACAGATGACCATTTTCTGTTAAAAGAACCACCAAACATCCCCAAATTAGAAAAGTATGCTCTCATTGGGGATATTCACAGAAATGCAATGTTGGCTTCATTGGCAGTTTCTAAAGGGGCATATAACAACAATTCTTTTAATCATAATTGGAATAAAGATAATTTCTAGCAAAGTTTCCATTTTCATGAGGATAACATTAATTTACTTAAATTGCCAGTTCTGGTATGCTTATTACAATTTCTTTTAATAATCATTTTTCCTGTTCTATTTTTAAAATGTTTTGAAAGACAAACTTTATGGATGTATGAACATATGCTTTGTAAAAATTCAAACCATATATATGTGCATGTGTGATGTATATAGATAGATCTATTGAAATAAAAAAAATATAAATATAAATATAGCTATAATGTAAATGATCGTGTTATGTATATTGCTTTGCAACTTGATGCTCCATTTAATAATTTTGACATCAATATAGTTTTATGTTAACATACATCATCTTTTTTTGTTTTTGGTACTAGGGATTGAACCCAGAGGTGCTTTATCCCTGAGTCACATCCCCATCTCCATCCCTTTTTATTTTTTGTTTTGAAACATGGTCTCACTAAGTTTTACTAAGTTGCTTAGGGATTTTCTAAGTTGCTGAGGCTGGCTTTGAATTTGTAATCCAACCTGCCTCAGCCTCCCAAGCCACTGGCATTACAGGCATGTGTCACCATGCCTAACTTTACATCCTCAATGGCTACATAGTATTCTGTGGCATGGATATGTTAAAAATTAATCTGACTTCTGAATTATTAAAAAATTACTATGTATGTACTCTTACAAGAGTTCGTAGCCATATTAATCACTCTATATGCTAGATCTTCTTCTGATTATTATTGTATCTTATTATGATTATTCTCGACATATTGCACATGAAAAAGGCCAGTATCAGAAAGATTGACTTCAGTAAGATCGTATGGCTGGTGGAAGAAGCAGAACTGGAACCCAAGACTTAACTTTTAGAAAAGGCAATGGTAGTACGCTCTACATACCTTATGTCAAATGAAAAAAATTAGGAAAGAAAGCAATAAAAGAAAAAGAGATTTAAATCATAGTGTGGATCTTTGAGAGAAAAACAGCAAAGTGTAAGGTGGAGTCAGGAAAGGATTTTATTTGAATGGATTCCTATTCCCCTGACGGTAAAATAAAGTGTGACAGATTGGAAACTGTTTTGAGATAGGATAAAGAGCACTATGGTCTTACCAGGGCTTGGCAAGGATGAGCCAGGGCTAATTTGACTAGGAGAGGTGAAAATGCTTGGGGAAGTTTTGTGGGACCTAATTAGGGACTCTGACTCGGTATGGGGTGATGGGGGTTTCCAGCAATGGGCCAGGCAGAGCTGAACTTGGCTGGACCTGTGGTGGGTGGGGCCTGTTTTATCAATGCAGAGCTCTGGGTGGGAGTCTCTCAGCAGCCAGCACAGGCAGATGGCCCACAGGCAATGCTTTAATGGGCAATTTCTATTCTTCTTCCTCCTCCTCCTTCTCCTTCTTCTTAAAATACACTTTATATAAAATAGAATATTTTTTTTAGAAAGTCATAGTTTTCAGAATTTCGTAGAAAGTGGCTGTTGGGGATTGAGTCTTTTGTGGGTAGGGCCAGCTCTCTGTTGGTGCCACGGGCAATCCTTCAGTGTTTGGCAGGTGATACCCACATTACAGGCAGCGTGCTTCTCCCAACGTGTGGTAAAAGAAACGCAGGCAGTCCCTGCAAGAGGGAAGTGGTTACATGATTGAAAGCAGCTTGGGACTTGCGCAATATAAAGTCATTGTCATAGAAAACTCCAAATGCGTTTTCATTTTCAAATGATGAATTACATGCAGGATTGCACAAGGACAGTCTCAGAAGACTTCCAACCAGACAAGCCTTGATTTCCAGTGCTTTGGCTTCCAAAAGCATGTTTGGGACATTTTAAAAACCTGTCCCTAGAGGCAAAGAGGAAGCGTTTTGTTGTGAAAATCTGTTTTTTTATAAATGGGATGAGAAAAACTGCACGCACATTTAATTTAGGAATGTAATATGATCTAACAAAAGCATTTCTCATTTAGTTGGGATTGAGGGTTTTAAAAAATAATTTCCTCATGAGCTGAATGAACAGTTCATTGATTTATTGTTAATGGAGTTGTTCATTTCTTATTAATCATATACTTAGAGACATTGGCTCTTCATGTCCCCTTTCTCTGTCGAAAACAGCTACACAGATGTCAATATGAGTAAAGTTGTACACTATTTGAGAGTCATGTTGAGTTTTAGTTATTTTTATTATAAAAATCACATATTCAAATATAAATGTAACTGGGTGTAGTGGCACATGCATGTAATGCCAGCAACTCTGGAGGCTGAGGTTAGAGGTCAAGAGTTCAAAGATGGCCTCAGCAACTTAGCAAGGCCTTAAGCACCTTAGACCCTGTATCAAATAAAAAATAAAAAGGGCTGGGGAATGTGGCTCAGTGGTTAAGCACCCCTGAGTTCAATCCTTAGTAATATATATATATACATATATACACATTCTCATGCGTGCATGTGTGTGTGTGTATGCATAACAGTTTCCGATAGCTTTTATACAAAATAAAATAAAAATAAATCTATAAAAAAATAAATTCAAGCAAAACATAATCAGGAGGGCAGTGCTGTTTGATTCACAACAGATTAGGTGCTGATTGCTATGCCAGAGGCCCTTTTGCACTTGACAGAGGCTACAATGCCATTTGTTGAGTGTCCTCTGCTACAGCTTTTCTCATGTTGTCTCAACAGGAAGCTGGTAAAGACCAGTGGGTAAGGGCAGATGTTTTCCAGCCAGAATGCCTGACTGGTTTAAGTCCTGCCTTTGCTACTAATTACTGACTATGTGATCCTAGGCAAATTGCTTAACCACTTTGGAATTCAGTTTCCACATCTGGAAAATGGGAGCAACAAAATTCCCTATAGCATTTGGATGTGATAATTCAAGGAGTTAATGCTAAAGAACAGAACATCAGAAAATTATTAATACAATATAATTTTCATCATTTATGCACCAGGTTGTGATGTCACTTACCATACATTGTTTGTCATTGGCCCTCCGAATCCTCTGTTTCCACATTTTCACATTTGATTAGCCAAAGCTTAAAAGTATTTGGGAGAAAAATTGAGTTAGCATTGAACATATACAGATTTTTTTTCCTTGTCATTATTCCCCAAACAACACATGAGAACAACTTTTACATAGCAGTACATTGTTTAAGTTATTAATCCAGAAATGATTTAAAGTACATAGGAGGATGCACATAGATTATATGCAAATATCTTTCCATTTTATACAGACAACATGAGCATCCATGGATTCTAGTGTCTGAGGAAGGTCCTGGAACCAGTTCCCAAGGATACCTAGGGATGAGTTTAATTTACTTTCTTAAGCCAGTGTGATGGCTTGCAATGTGTCAACTTGGCTAGGCTGAACTGCATGTTCCAGAATTACCTTTGCTGTTTGCTATTGGTTAGAGGGAGCTACAAAAGACATTCCCGTGTCTTTGGAGGGCAGGAGTGAAGTGGCAATCATTTTGTAGCTCATACACATTGTCATGTATCGTATCGGTTGGTTCCCACAATTTGTGTGAGGCAGAAGCCGGGCCTGTAGCTCCTCCATCTTCCCCTGGATGCTCTTACGGCTCCTCTGACTCCTGGAAAGGTTTGGTCAGCTCCATGGTGAGGCTCCTGACTTCTCCAGGACACCCACCTCACTCAGAGGAGAGGCAGTAAGTACTGACATAAGTTTCCCTTCCTCCTCCCAGGTGCCAGCTTGGGCTTGAGGTTCCCTCTTATGCTTGGTTTTCTTGACTTTACACCCATCTTTCCTTCCTGCCTGCCTTTTCTTCATGGACTTGAACCCTGGCATCAGATGCAGAAAACTGATATTGGGAGACCCCTTCTTAACCAGCTCCCACAATTGTGTAATGTCAAATTCTTTAAAAAAAAAAAAAAGTCTGTGATAGATAGATCGATCTCTAACAGTCCTGATTCTCTGAAGCTCCCTGTCTGATACAACCAGGGTAATTAAAATTGTTTGTCTTTCTCAACAACATGGTCATAAACACAAATGAAAACATGGGCAATGAAATCATGTGGGAGAGTTAATTATGAGAAAGACATTCATATAATTTAGAATACAATTATTTTCAGATAGATGATTATGAAAATGAAACTTCACAACTTAAAATGTTCTCACAAGATGTCCTAGGTTATGTTGAAAAATACTGCTATAATTCATTCTTATTTGTCTCTCTCCCTAGTATGTTTTGGAGACTGTGAACAATTAATATTCTCATACTTCCCACACAACACCCACACAGCATCTTCTGTTGTAGGAGGCACTGTATCCTTGATTTTTTTCTGACAAAAACAAAAACAAACAAAAAAGATGCATAAGATTCCACAACACTCTTTCTAAACTTTCCTCCTGATTCAAGGAATCCGACCCATTTCTCAATAATTCACTCACTTTTAAAAATGTATTTATTTATTCATTTATTTTAACTAGGTATGTATGACAGCAGAATGGATTTGATTCATCGTACAAATTGCAGCACAACTTTTCACTCTTGATTCATTCAATCATTGTAAAGTATTATTGAGCACCTGCTGTGTGCAAGAAAGGAAATTGTCACAGAGTATGTAAAGACAATTACTGTCTCTTCCCTGAAGAAGTTGAATTTCGAAGGGGCAAGAAACCAGCAAATTCAGGATAGCAATATCATGTGACTGTCATGGAAGAGCTGTGCACAGGGCTCCATAGGAGCTGCCAACTCAATAGGGATCTGGAGAGTACTTCCTTTAGGGTGAATACTCGAGTTGGGTATTAAAATCTAAAGGTTAGTCTGTAAAAGGTGAAGGGTCTTTGGACAAAGGGAACAGAGTTTTTAGGCTCTGGAGGTACAAGAAAGCATGAAGTATTTGGGAAATGTTTAGTTGAAACTCATGAGTTTGCAGGTCAGGATGAGATCTGGGCTCATCACAGTTACAGAAATCTGAAAGGTCAAAAGACAGTTGACACTGTGGAAGAGAGAATGAAGACTGAGCACAAACAGAAGAAAGACTATGGTGGCCAACGTCGGCACTCAGCACAGCACTTTACGAGGTGAGATCAAGAAGAGCACCAGAAAGACAAGAGAGGCCGGAGAAGATCCAGGAGAGTTAGGGACTAGAATCAAGGGAAGAGGGACATGTAGAGAGATTGTGGTCAAAGATGTCACATGCTGAAGAAAGTGCAAGTAAACTAAGGATTGTAAAGGGAATTCATGAGTCACTGGTGATGTGAAAAGTGGGCCCTAATGTTCACAGACCTGGTGACTGCACCACTTTCCATAGAAACTGACTGTGAGAGTAGGGAGAAGAGCATGGGATCTAACATGAACATATTCATTCGCTGAAGGAAAAAAGAGTCAGAGCAAAAGAAAAAGTTGAAGGTAAAGGAGAGAGGACTATAACCCAAAGAGCAAATTGGAGATGAAATGGTTAAGTAAGGAAACCTAAAAGAACTGAAGTAGATAGGATACACGAAAGTGTTTATCTCAAAATTTGTTTCCCTTAAATTTGTAAAAAAAAAAACAAGTCTGTGACTCCTTTTATGGAAACCTTTCAGTAACTTCTAAAGGCTTATAGTATAAAGTATGTAGGATAGACAGTGTTTTCAATCTGTATACTCCCTGTTCTTGGAAGAGAGTAATACAATCCATTCACTGCCATGTGATTTACAGTGTCTCCTATGGGAAGAGTTTATATTCTCAGCCCATTACATTCAGCTTGCTGATGTGACTTTATTTGACCAATGAAAATGAACAGGTAATAATATTTGTTTCAACCAAATAGAAGCTTTAAGAGCTATTGCATGTATCCACCAACTTCCTGCCACGAGAATGCACGTCTCAGGTAGGGACTATTCCTTAACCCTGGGTCCTATGAGAGGAAGAGCCATAGCAGATGACCCAGAGGCAATGACATGTGACATAGGAAAATATAATGTTTGTTGTTCTAAACCATAAAGACTTTTGACTTGGTTTGAAATGATTAATCTTGCAGAGAGGATTAATATGGAATTTGGCAATGGCCATTATGCAGTACCTAAGTAGGGAAATAGTGCATTCAGAATTGTATTTAATATTGATCTAGCAGATTTGGGACACAAGAAGAGACTTTTCTACAAGATTAAACATTTTTACAGCCTTGTCTCTGCCAGTTTTTCTGGGTCTTCATCTTTACTTTTAAGCTTGTGTATTATCATATGGCATAAAGAGAGAAGTTCATTCTGGTTTTTATACTGTTGTAGGGACAAATGAGGCAAGGCACCGAAGGTAGCAGGAAACAGTTTTATTTGGCTGCAGCCAGGTTCAGAGGGTACAGCCTTTGCTGTAATCAATCAATCCCCTGAACCCCGAGTTCAGGAAGTTTCAGAGTTTTATACCCAACATGTAAGGGGAGGGGCTCAGAAGTTCGCAGTCTGCAGAAGTTCACATAAAAGCAGCTTTTTCTTTCACTGTTTTAGGCAAGTTAAATACTTCAAGGACAACACCTGAGAAGGGGAGAGCTTCTTCTCCCCTTTCTTTCTTCCCCTGCCAGCTGTTACCATGGAGCCCGATTAATATCTTCTTCTCATCTTAAAAAATGTAGACATCTCTGTGAAGCCCAGCTCAAGGCCAGAAGCCTTGTTAGCACATTTCTACAAACTACTATACTGGATCCATTTGTGAAAAATTGTTAAGGGGGTGCCCAGCACCTGGAGTGCTGGTATCTTCTCGGCCAGTGGCCAAGTGACATGAAAATAGAAAGTTTATCTACAATGGACTCTTTTGCTGACAGTCCTAAAATCAGCCATGGTGACGAGGGCTTTTCTGTGGAGAAAGGGGGTGCCACTTCAATTCCCCCCTTTAATGATGCTCCCCTTAATTTAATCCTTTATATTTAAGAGCATCATTACCATTATCTTGGCTTAAGGCCTTGTATAATGCCAAAACCTTAGTTGTTGTCATCCTTTCAACAGCAGCTTCTATATTGGACCCAATAGTTTTAATGCACAGTGGAGCCAAACATGGGAGCAATTAACAGGTTAACAGCAGAATACCCACTACACCAGTTAAGTTTTAAATCTACCAAGAGTTGAAAACCATCTCCCAAAAGCATGTTTGGGATTCAAACTTTAATGCCCTTCTAGGTATGAACGAGCACATGTGCTAGTTCTCTAGCATATTGGCTATATCCTTAACTGTTTGTCTATTGTCGTCCATCTATAGTATTCCTCTGGTGGGACAGGTCCTAAATATATGTTTTACCACCTCTTATAGTGGATTGTCTTGACACATGGTTCACATGATCTCCATGTTTAGGATAGGAGTAGAACAGAATCTCTTAAGGTTATCAAAGGAAACCAAACTAAATAATAGACTAACATTTTGGTTAGCATAGGTTAAACAGCATAAATTAACAAAGCCAAATTAATAACACCATACAAATCCTAGAAAACTTATATAAGCAAGATAAAAAAAATAAGTGAAATTTTGTTTTTTAGAGCCTAGAGTGTTAACCATTACACTATAGGAATTATCTTAGAGGTTGAAAGAGTCCATTAGTTTTCATAGAAGGTTTATCTTTCACTATGAATAGATCAGCCAGTCCCTCCTGTGTGGCTGAAACAGGGCCGTAGTCTCCTCAAGCTTTGGCCGTGCATAGACCAGTCAGCTTCCAGAGTGACTGGAGCAGGGCTGTTGTCCTTCTGATCCTCAAGCTTCTCCTGTGCTCCTTTTTCTTCAGGATGGTCAGCTTCAAGGGTGTAGCAGCATCTGGAGAGCACTCCAAGTCCGCAGCTACAGGTGTGAGTCTGGTGTAGTGAATCCAGGGACCTATCTCTGCAAACTTTACTGTAGTTGAGGTGGATAAAATAACAGTGAAAGGGCCCTTCCAAACAAGTTCAGGGGCTGAATATTTCATTCTTTGACTCAGACTCAATCTCCAGGCTTGAAGGAGTGTGCACCTGGGTCAAACTTACTGACAATCTTTCTCTAACCCATTGGTTGAGAACCTGTAAAGTTTTCCCTAAGACCTGAAGCTGTCAACTCAGGATTAATTCCCCTATCTCTCTTAAGTCTCCCTGTAGCCCCCTAATAAGAGAGGGAGGCCTTCCAAACATTATCTCATAAGGAGAGAATCCAGTCCTTCTAGTGGGAGTGGATCTAATCCTCAAAAGTACAATAGGGAGAAGTTCATCATAATGTAAGTGAGTCTCCTCGCACCGCTTACCCAATTGAGCCTTAAAGTTCTGTTCATCCTTTGAACTTTACCAGAACTCTGCAGCCTATAGGCAGTAGGTAACTTTCATCTGATATTTAAACTCTTGGTTAGTAATCGTATCACTTCTGCCCCAAAGCTGGCCCATTGTCTGAGCCAATAATGATTGGGATACCTTAGCCTTTTCAGTGCGGGTGGGAAAGGCTTCCACCCGTCAGAGTGGGAACACACAAAACCCAAAGTTACTTATAGCCCCGTGAGCATGGTAGTTCAGTGAAGTTTACTTCCAAGTCTTCAAAAGGTGCTCCTCCTATAGTTTGGATTCCTGGTGAAAGCTTTGGCCCCTGACAAGAATTGTTGTGAGCACAAACCTCATATTGTTTGCAGATCATCCAGGTGATGCTTGTGAGCTGGAAGTCATAGAAATGTTGACTCAGAACTGTCTCAAGTGCTGTATGTCCAACATGTTTTCCTGTGAAACTGTCTGATAAAGGCTGGGGCTAGAAACTCCGGGGTGGCTATTCCGGCCATCAGATAATCTCCACCATCCACCTGGGAGAAAATTTGTTTTTTCAGTCTTAAATTACTTACTTTCATGTTGGGAGTAGGTTGGCTCCCATTTTGATAGCTAGTCGGCCAGGCAGAAGGGCAGCATTTAAACCTGGGACTGGATTTTTTCCCCATTTCTTGCAGACAGCTAACCTGGCCTCTCTGTCAGCTCTCCGGTTGCCCTGAAAAACCACAGTGTTTCCTTTTCGATGACCTTGACAATATATAATCATAACCTTCCTGGGAGCCCACAGTGCATCCAAAAGTTTAAGAATTTCTTGCCCATACATCATGTCCCCCCCCCTTTTTTTTCTCCTGAGTTAATTACCCTACATAAGGCCCTATGAACATGAAGGGTAGCGAATGCATATTTTGAGTCTATGTACATATTCACAGAGTCCTGCTGTCAACTGAGGTGCTTGAGTCAAAGCAATAAGTCTTACTTTTTGTGCTGAAGTTCCCTGAGGCAGAGGCTCTGCCTTGACAGTAGAGTCCAGAGTGACCCTTGCATATCCAGCCAAACATACCTCATCTTTTATAAAACTGCTTCGATCTGTGAAGTACTCTGCATCAGCGTCCTTGAGAGGCTGGTCTATTAGGTCTGGTCTGCTGGAGAACACTTCATCCATGACCTCAACACATTTGTGATCAGGTTTTCCAGGTCCATGGGCAGCAAAGTTGCTGGGTTTAGAGTTCTGACGACCTCAACATGGATACATGGGTTTTCACATAACATGCCCTGATATTTGACCATTCTTTCATTAGTCAACCAATAGTGTCCTTTATATTTTAACAATGTCAAAATTGAATGAGGAACTCTGACAACCAGCTCTTGTCCCATGGCCAGTTTATCAGCTTCCAACACCAGAAGAACTGTGGCTGCAAGGGCACGTAAACAAGGTGGCCAGCCCTGGGCTACAGAATCCAGCTGTTTTGACAAATAGGCCACTGGACTGTGCCATGTCCCCAGCATCTGAGTCAAAACTCCTATAGCCACTCCAGACCGATCATGGACATACAGAAAGAAAGGTTTCGTGAGGTCAGGGAGCCCTAATCCAGGTGCACTGGTGAGTGCTTGTTTAATGTCCTCAAAGGCCTTTTGCTTAGTTGACTCCTATATTAGAGGATCCTATTCTCCCCCCTTTGTGGCTTCATAGAGGGGTTTTTGTCATAACTGAAAGTTGGGGATCCATACATGTCTGAACCCTGAATTCTCTAGTCTGATGGCAGGTTGAAGGGACTGGAATTGAGCAGATCTCCTGTTTCTTTTGAGGCTCAGTTGCTATTGTCTGTTCTGTTGCTGAGTCCGATGGTAACCAAAGTATTTGACCTTTTTCTTGATAGATATGGGCTTTTAGGTCAGAGTCCAGTGCTGTCCCAATGATGATGTACTTAAGCCCCTGGGAGGAACTGTCATTTAGGGAAGGGAAGCGTACATAGAGCCTCTGGCGCTTTAAGATGCAGGAATTTTTTTTGTTATCTCCCAGTGCAGGATCTTGGCTGCTGGGATTCTCCACCTCTTAAATCTAACGTAAATCTTAGCAGAGACTGATGACCTGGGACACTATTTGTATAAAAGGCACCTATGTCAATCTCGCCGTGGGCCGTCTGCCAAGGTTGGAGGGCAGCAGTGCAGTTCCGTGCAGGTCCCAGTGTGGCAGCTACATTGTGCCCACCTAGGTGTTTCTCTTTGTCTGTGTGGCCTTCTCCTCTTGTCAGGTGGGAGTCTGCTCTAATTGTATATAGTAGCTGCCCGCTTGTGTTTTGTTCAGTATGCCTGGGTGCATGGGGCTCTGTGGCTCTTCCTGCTGGTGGCTCACAGCTTGTGGCTTGGAGTCAGGGTGGCATATCCTTTTGGAGTGAGCACGCTATGGCTCACTATCAGCTGTTAACATGAACATATTCCTGGTTCATTTGGGGGCTTGCAGCAGCTGAGCCCTCCTGAGGCGCTGGGTCCCGTACATCGTGCATCAGATACAGTTGTGTGTATCTGTTGGACCTCTGCCATATTCGTCAATCACAGACTTCCGAGCAAGTGGGAAGAAACTGAAAGGAGGGGCTGGGGCCAAAACATTTATTCCTTCTCTGTTCAAGGCTTAGCATTTGAGCACAGTAGTGGGTGCTTGTCCGCTGGGGTCACTAGAGGCTTCCCCTTTTGTCTGGCCACAGTTTTTTTTTTTTCTTATAAACATTTGGAGCATTGGCTTTGTTCTAGTGAGACCCCCCCCCCCTTTGAGTAACCTCTGGGTTTGTGGTGAGGGCTGCTGTAAGAAGATCCATCCTCCACTTCATCTTTTTGGTCTGGCTGTCTTTGAGTCTCTGGATCTCGATTGATGAAAACTATGGTGGCCACCTTACTCAGCTCACTGGCACACTTCTCAGTAAAGCCCTCTAGGATTGTAAAATTTGGCAAATGGCTCTTTGAGCCTGTCCCACAAAGGCTGCATTGATCACCTGTTGCTTGCGCCTGTGCATTTCTTCACTGACAAACTTGCACCGTGGCTGCTACACTTGTATGTGCCCTTCTTCCCCCGGGCACCTCGGGGAGGAGAGAGGGGCAGCAGCGGCAGTGGCCTGGACATTTAGCTCTGAGTCAGTTGGGCACATCTCTTTTGATCATTGCTGCCAGTTTCATAGGGTAGAGGGGCCTTAGGCAGATGTGGGGCTGAGAGAAATATTCAGGCTATCAAGGTGCGAGAGGGAGACAGCAGGAGGCTTGTCTGGGCTCTGTTTGTTTGCAGATGTGCTCAGCTTAGGCTAGGGCTCAGGGCTGGCTTTGATTCCTTCTAACTTTGTTCTCTTTTTTCTATTCTTTTAGACTTTCTCTGAGGGCTTCTTGACATCTCTTTATCTTTAGACCTTCTTTTTTGTTGGAGCCTGTCCTAGCTCTGGATAATGGGCTGCATCAGATCAGTCATGGCCCAGGGTTTCTCCATGTAGGAGGGAGTATGGTTTTTCCAGCTTATGAGCTCAATGGTGGAGAAAGGCTGGCACACAAAACTGCCTTGTCTCCCTCAGACATTTCCCTCTGGTCAACATGGGCATGTCCTTTGATCCCTTGCAGGGGCATCTGGAGAATTCTCATCTGAGTTGTGGCTCTGATCTTGGGACAAATCTCCCACCTTAATCTTGGGAGGTGAAAGAGTCTTTGGTCCTAGGAAGCCTTTGGCTCTGAGGACATCACAGAGGAAGGAATAGCCAGTATTGGGGACCATCATTTGTTGCCTCTGAGGACAAGGGGGCTGAGGGGACACTCTGCTGTCCCGGTGGTCTTGGCAAAGTTGGTCCTGGGTCCTCTTCTGGCACATGGGGAAAACTGTTTCCCTTACTGTCTTTCCTAGTCAGATTTTCTGCTTAGCTGCTTTCCGCTGGGTCTTAGAGACCACTGTGCTCCTGGCTAACATCAGCTTGGACTGTTCATCTAGACAGGCTCTCAACCAAGGGGGCTGTTTCTGTACTATCTCTTGCCAGCAATCAGTATAAGAGAATTGGTTCAGGGTTCCAACAACAATCAAAAGGACTCAGCAATGACTCTTTCATCTAAAGATCCTTCTGGTGGCCAGCCCACATCTTGGGTGAGCCACTCTAATTCACAGAGTATGCAACCTTTGTGGAGTGAGTTTCACCCCACTGTAACCTGGAAAACCTTCCTAACGGTTTCTCACACACATTTCAGAAGGCTCAGTTTCCTTAGTGTGCCTCCCATGTTCCACCCTGCATCGGTGTCGCACACTTAGAACAAAACATACTTAGGACAAGACTCGCTTCGTCCATCTCCGGCCACTCCCCTGGCAGGGACTTAGGGCCCTCTTAGCCTTGTGAGTCGGTATCAACCCCCGACCTGGAGCTTTCACCTGGACGTTGGTTGGGGAAATTCTGCCATAGACTGTATGAGGTGCCACAGAACTTCGGATCAGGACTCTGCACTCGCTTTGGCCCTCAGGTTGGGTCGGAACCCTTCCCTTTGTCCATCTCATTCACACACTTTCACACAGACATGGCCAGGACAGAATTTCTATATCACCCAAATTCCAACAATTCCAAACCAAACAGAAAAGGGAGTCCTGGTTGCCCCTCTGCTCGCTGACCCTGAACAGAGACTACTCGGGCGACTCCCCGGGTCCGTTTCAGCTCCAACCACTTTGGAGGGTACTCGGGACCCAACAGAGGGTGATCAAGCCTCTCTTCCACCAGCTTAGGCCTCAAAGAGGAAGTCAGGTGGGCTACAAAACCAAATGGACCCGGGTCCTACCTGTTCAGATGGGCGGTGCTCCAAAACCCTAATTCTGGTTCCTGCTGCCTGTGGGTTCTGTTGTGCTCAGGGGTGGCTGCCCCAAGGTGCTGGGTGAGTGGATCCTCCTTCAGGCTAAGAGTGGCCTGGGCAGCCAAGGGGAACTTTGTCCCCTACAGCCCCAGGGAAGCCTGTCCCCGGAGACAAGAGAGGCAGAATAGCCTTCCTTACCTCCCGTGTCCCATCTGGGTCGCCAAAAATGTTGTGGGGACAAATGAGGCAAGGCACCGAAGGTAGCAGGAAACAGTTTTATTTGGCTGCAGCCAGGTTCAGAGGGTACAGCCTTTGCTGTAATCAATCAATCCCCTGAACCCCAAGTTCAGGAAGTTTCAGAGTTTTATACCCAACATGTAAGGGGAGAGGCTCAGAAGTTCACAGTCTGCAGAAATTCACACAAAAGCAGCTTTTTCCTTCACTGTTTTAGGCAAGTTAAATACTTCAAGGACAACACCTGAGAAGGGGAGAGCTTCTTCTCCCCTTTCTTTCTTCCCCTGCCAGCTGTTACCATGGAGCCCAATTAATATCTTCTTCTCATCTTAAAAAATGTAGACATCTCTGTGAAGCCCAGCTCAAGGCCAGAAGCCTTGTTAGCACATTTCTACAAACTACTATACTGGATCCATTTGTGAAAAATTGTTAAGGGGGTGCCCAGCACCTGGAGTGCTGGTATCTTCTCGGCCAGTGGCCAAGTAAGCAGGGTGACATGAAAATAGAAAGTTTATCTACAATGGACTCTTTTGCTGACAGTCCTAAAATCAGCCATGGTGACGAGGGCTTTTCTGTGGAGAAAGGGGTGCCACTTCAATACTGGATTTTTTACTTCAGTCCTTTTCTCTTAAATAGGTTTCAACATGACTATTATTTAGATTTCCATGATTTTGCAACTAATTTTTTTTTTTTCTATCTGATGCTTTTATCTATTTTTTCATTTATATCAACATGATTGAATATGATGCTTTTCAAACTTCAAATCATGCTGTATTAATGAGCAGTGAAATAAAAATGCAACCAGCATTTTAAATTATTTTTCTTCATGAACATTTAAAAAAAAACACAGGTTAGAATAGTAAAATGACCTCCCAAATATCCATCACCTGGATTCAATTGTTAAGATATTTTCATATTCTTTCTTCTATTCTATGGTTTTCTTCTCTTATTTATTGGGGAAGTATCTTAAAGGCAATTTCAGACATCATGTTAATTTACTAATACATATGCCAATATGTTTCTCTACAAATACATATTTTTTTAGGTAACTACTAAGGCATTATCAGACCTTTTAAAAAAATTTTTTTTTTTTTTTAATTTTTTATTGTGGGTTGTTCAAAACATTACAAATTTCTTGACATATCGTATTCCACACTTTGATTCTAGTGGGTTATGAACTCCCACCTTCACCCCATACACAGATTGCAGATTCACATCAGTTACACATCCATTGATTTACAAATTGCCATACTAGTGTCTGTTGTGCTCCGCTGCCTTTCCCATCATCCACCCTCCCCCCTCCCCACCTCTCCCCTCCCCTCCCCTCCTCTCTCTCTACCCCCTCCACTGTATAACCCTGAGGGTCTCCTTCCATTACCGTGCAATTTACCTTCTCTCTCCCTTTCCCTCCCACCTCTCATCCCTGTTAAATGTTAATCTTCTTCTCCTGTTCTTCGTCCCTACTCTGTTCTTAGTTACTTTCCTTATATCAAAGAAGACATTTGGCATTTGTTTTTTAGGGATTGGCTAGCTTCACTTAGCATAATCTGCTCTAATGCCATCCATTTCCCTGTAAATTCTATGATTTTGTCATTTTTTAATGCAGAGTAATACTCCATTGTGTATAAATGCCACATTTTTTTTATCCATTCGTCTATTGAAGGGCATCTAGGTTGGTTCCACAGTCTTGCTATTGTGAACTGTGCTGCTATGAACATCGATGTAGCAGTGTCCCTGTAGCATGCTCTTTTTAGGTCTTTAGGGAATAGACCAAGAAGGGGAATAGCTGGGTCAAATGGTGGCTCCATTCCCAGCTTTCCAAGAAATCTCCATACTGCTTTCCAAATTGGCTGCACCAATCTGCAGTCCCACCAGCAATGTACAAGTGTACCCTTTTCCCCACATCCTCGCCAGCACTTGTTGTTGTTTGACTTCCTAATGGCTGCCAATCTTACTGGAGTGAGATGGTATCTTAGGGTGGTTTTGATTTGCATTTCTCTGACAGCTAGAGATGTTGAGCATTTTTTCATGTACTTGTTGATTGACTGTATGTCCTCCTCTGTGAAGTGTCTGTTCAGGTCCTTGGCCCATTTGTTGATTGGGTTGTTTGTTCTCTTATTGTCTAATTTTTTGAGTTCTTTGTATACTCTGGATATTAGGGCTCTATCTGAAGTGTGAGGAGTAAAGATTTGTTCCCAGGATGTAGGCTCCCTATTTACCTCTCTTATTGTTTCTTTTGCTGAGAAAAAACTTCTTAGTTTGAGTAAGTCCCATTTGTTGATTCTAGTTATTAACTTTTGTGCTATGGGTGTCCTATTGAGGAATTTGGAGCCCGACCCCACCGACTGTAGATCGTAGCCAACTTTTTCTTCTATCAGACGGCGCGTCTCTGATTTGATATCAAGTTCCTTGATCCATTTTGAATTCACTTTTGTGCATGGCGAGAGAAAGGGATTCAGTTTCATTTTGTTGCATATGGATTTCCAGTTTTCCCAGCACCATTTGTTGAAGATGCTATCCTTCCTCCATTGCATGCTTTTAGCCCCTTTATCAAATATAAGATAGTTGTAGTTTTGTGGATTGGTTTCTGTGTCCTCTATTCTGTACCATTGGTCCACCCGCCTGTTTTGGTACCAGTACCATGCTGTTTTTGTTACTATTGCTCTGTAGTATAGTTTGAAGTCTGGTATCGCTATACCGCCTGATTCACACTTCTTGCTTAGCATTGTTTTTGCTATTCTGGGTCTTTTATTTTTCCATATGAATTTCATGATTGCTTTCTCTATTTCTACAAGAAATGCCATTGGGATTTTGATTGGCATTGCATTAAACCTATAGAGAACTTTTGGTAATATCGCCATTTTGATGATGTTAGTTCTGCCTATCCATGAACAGGGTATATTTTTCCATCTTCTAAGATCTTCTTCTATTTCTCTCTTTAGGGTTCTGTAGTTTTCATTGTATAAGTCTTTCACCTCTTTTGTTAGGTTGATTCCCAAGTATTTTATTTTTTTTGAAGATATTTTGAATGGAGTGGTTGTCCTCATTTCCATTTCAGAGGATTTGTCGCTGATATACAGGAATGCCTTTGATTTATGCGTGTTGATTTTAAATCCTGCCACTTTGCTGAATTCATTTATTAGCTCTAATAGTTTCTTTGTAGAGCCTTTTGGGTCTGCTAGATATAGAATCATATCATCTGCAAATAGTGATAATTTAATTTCTTCTTTTCCTATTTTTATGCCTTTAATTTCTTTCGTCTGTCTAATTGCTCTGGCCAGTGTTTCGAGAACTATGTTGAAGAGAAGTGGAGAGACAGGGCATCCCTGTCTTGTTCCAGATTTTAGAGGGAATGTCTTCAGTTTTTCTCCATTCAGAATAATGCTAGCCTGAGGCTTAGCATAGATTGCTTTTACAATATTGAGGTATGTTCCTGTTATCCCTAGTTTTTCTAGAGTTTTGAACATAAAGGGATGCTGTACTTTGTCAAATGCTTTTTCCGCATCTATCGAGATGATCATATGGTTCTTATTTTTAAGTCTATTGATGTGGTGAATAACATTTATTGATTTCCGTATATTGAACCAGCCTTGCATCCCAGGGATGAATCCTACTTGATCATGGTGTACAATTTTTTTTATATGTTTTTGTATCCGATTCGCCAGAATTTTATTGAGGATTTTTGCATCTAGGTTCATTAGAGATATTGGTCTGTAGTTTTCTTTCTTTGAAGTGTCTTTGTCTGGTTTAGGTATCAGGGTGATGTTGGCCTCATAGAATGAATTTGGAAGTTCTCCCTCCTTTTCTATTTCCTGAAGTAGCTTGAAAAGTATTGGTATTAGTTCTTCTTTAAAGGTTTTGTAAAATTCTGCTGTATACCCATCGGGACCTGGGCTTTTCTTAGTTGGTAGTCTTTTGATGGTTTCTTCTATCTCCTCAATTGATATTGGTCTGTTTAGGTTTTCTATATCCTCCTGACTCAATCTGGGCAGATCATATGACTTAAGAAATTTATCTATGCCTTCACTATCTTCTAATTTATTGGAGTATAAGGATTCAAAATAGTTTTTGATTATCTTCTGTATTTCTGAAGTGTCTGTTGTGATATTGCCTTTTTCATCCCGTATGCTAGTAATTTGAGTTCTCTCTCTTCTTCTCTTCACTAGCATCGCTAAGGGTCTGTCAATCTTGTTTATTTTTTCAAAGAACCAACTTTTAGTTTTGTCAATTTTTTCAATTGTTTCTTTTGTTTCGATTTCATTAATTTCAGCTCTGATTTTAATTATTTCTTGCCTTCTACTTCTTTTGCTGTTGTTTTGCTCTTCTTTTTCAAGGATTTTGAGATGAAGTATGAGATCATTTATTTGTTGGTTTTTTCTTTTTTTAAGGAATGAACTCCAAGCAATGAATTTTCCTCTTAGAACTGCTTTCAATGTGTCCCATAGATTCCGATATGTTGTGTCTGTGTTTTCATTTATCTCTAAGAATTTTTTAATTTCCTCCTTGATGTCTTCTATAACCCATTGATCATTCAGTAACCTATTGTTCATTCTCCAATTGATGTATGCTTTTTCCTTCCTTCTTTTATTGTTGATTTTCAGTTTCATTCCATTATGATCAGATAAGATGCATGGTAATATCTCTACTCCTTTATATTGTCTAAGAGTTGCCCTGTGACATAATATATGATCTATTTTTGAGAAGGATCCATGTGCTGCTGAGAAAAAAGTGTAACTGCTTGATGTTGGGTGGTATACTCTATATATGTCAATTAGGTCTAGGTTATTAATAGTGTTATTGAGTTCTATAGTTTCCTTATTCAACTTTTGTTTGGAAGATCTGTCCAGTGGCGAGAGAGGTGTGTTGAAGTCTCCCATGATTATGGTGTGGTGGTCTATTAGACTCTTGAACTTGAGAAGAGTTTGTTTGACGAACATAGCTGCACCATTGTTTGGGGCATAAATATTTATGATTGTTATGTCTTGTTGGTGTATGGTTCCCTTAAGCAGTATGTAGTGTCCCTCTTTATCTCTTTTGATTAACTTTGGCTTGAAATCTATTTTATTTGATATGAGTATGGACACGCCTGCTTGTTTCCGAAGTCCATATGAGTGATATGATTTTTCCCAACCTTTCACCTTCAGCCTATGTATGTCTTTTCCTATCAAATGCGTCTCCTGTAGGCAGCATATTGTTGGGTCTTGTTTTGTGATCCATTCTACTAGCCTGTGTCTCTTAATTGGTGAGTTTAAGCCATTAACATTTAGGGTTATTATTGAGATATGGGTTGTTCTTCCAGCCATATTTGTTTATTTCTGTTACTAAACATTGTTTGTTTTCCTCTTTGATTGTTTCCCCCCCCCCTTTACTGTCCTACCTCCCACTGTTGGTTTTCAT